CTTTTACCTAATTCCTTTTTAAAAGCTTTGATGTGGCACAGACAGAGCTTCTGTGATATGTAATATAGATTAAAAGCAAGACAATTTCATCAACAGAGCATTAAACTTAAATATCTAAATGCCAAAGGGCTGGAAATTCAACCTAATTAAAATGGCTAAACACAGAGTCACAATTAAACAGTGAGAGAATTATGGAAAAGTAAATATTTACACACACATTGTACACTTATTAGGGTTTACAAAGAAATGCTTCTCATCTGCACAGCTTTCCTTTGTAATGATATTGTTATGAGGCAATAAATGTGGTTATAGTTAATAACAGATGTTAAATGGCATAATTCATCCAGAAATCTCACTAATTACTGCAGAAGCAACAGACAAATTCACAGCATTGTATGGGAGGTATTTCTTATCTGTTAGTTTGTAAACTGAAAGGTCATTTGTAGAAAAAGAAATACTTAAAATAAAGCTGTAGTTATTTAAATGAAAAATTTAAACACTTTAAAGTTACAACAGGCTTCCCCTTCCAAAGAGTTCATGTTTCATTCAGACAAAACAAAGTGGCCCAAATGAGTTTGCATTAACTTGGCCACTATTGTGGTAATCATTTTCTAAATTAGTTTAGGGAGAATGTTCCATATTTTAAACTGCATTACTTGTTGTCTTTAGAATAACGCTTACCATCAAATATTTTATTTTTCTTCAGCCCAATGCTTCTCTTGTAAGGGCACTAGGACAAATAAGGAGGAAGGCAGACAGGGTACAATGTCACCTGAAGTAATTTTACTTTACACAGATCATACAGAGAAGAGGTGGAAAGTATAAACACTTAAAATAATTTTCCATAATAAATTTGGGAAGGCTGATGAGAAAAATTAAAATCAAGAGGCAACTTTTGTTACCTTCACAAAAGCTCAAACCCAGGAGTCACTGTGAGACTCCCCATGCCCTTAACAGTCAACTGTCACTTGACATTCTAACGTCCATTGTTTTCTCCACTTCCGTGTCGTCTCAACAGTGGTGCCCTTTGAAAGGTTTGTGGTTGACCTGCACCACATTTTACAAAGCTTTTCTTCTTGGATTTAATTCCTATTGGTCTTCAAAACAAAAGAGTTTTATTTACATCCTGATTTAAATAAAGTCAGGATGCTGAAGTTAAAACAACAAAAATTTCCAAGGTTTTCAGTTGTACAAACGTGCATCTGTGCATGCACGCACACACACACAGACAGGAAGAGAGAGAGAGCGAGAGAGCAGGATGGATATTTGAGCCGAAATGGAGAGAAGAGGAGACAAAACCTATCTTTAGTTTTCTATGAAATAGAAACGATTATAGCTGACCTCTGGTATAATGTTTAATTGTTCCTTTTTCTTGTGGAAAGCCTGGTGGCCAGGTTATTTATTTATTTATTTATTTTTAATGCCTCTGAGTGAGACAACATTTGAGACATCATTGAGTCTTCCAGTTTTGATTTTTGTGGAGAATAGCTTTCCCATAAAATAGAAACTTGGCAATAAAAATCAATGTATACCCATCAATATAATCATTGGAGTCAAGAAAGAATTTTTTTTTCCATGTTAACTTTTGAAACAATCTGAAAAGAAATCTGCTTAGGGAAAAGGCAAGGACAGCATATTATAATGAATGGAGAGAATGGACTAGACTGGTGCTCCCCAAACCTCAGTGCATATATGCACCACCTGGGGATCTTTTCAAAGGATAGATTCTAACTCAGGAGGTCTGCAGTGGGTCTGCCACCCTACATATCTAATGAACTCCCACATACTGCTGCTGCCTGTGAACCACACTGTGAGCAGTGAGGACCCAGGGGACTACTGACAGTCTCCTCTAAATCTGGTATCCTTACACAATAGAAAGCAAAGTGAAAGTTCATATTGAGCCTTAAATTAGAAAGCTGGAAGGGTACTTAAGGGGAATCCTGATTTATTCCCCATCACATGATGTTCTATAGTATCACAGAGAAACAATTCCAGATGGCTGAAGAAGTATGTGTTTCTAACAGTCTCCTTTGAAGATAGCCTGCAACATTGCTTAGCAGTTAATTCAGTTTTTAACAACCTTGAAAATATTTAGCAAAAGTTTCCTTTGCTGTATCATGAGTTAATTCTTTATGTACAGATTTCCATGTAGAGAGAAAATTCCTCTAAATGATACCCCTTTGTAAACTAAAAAACTATTCATTAATACATAATCTCTCAGTTTCCATTCTTTAAGCTATCTTGGATGGTTTAGACTTTTCTCAATGGGACATTTTCTAAGCCTTTAATCATCTGGGTAATCTTATACAAGTGATGTCATTCCCCTTAGAGAGTAATTTGTTCTACCCTCAGTTAAAAAACATCCATCCTTTTTGTTTTCATTCTTTCAATCCCTAAAGGCCTACTTCTCTTCAAGAATTTCTATATCATCACCATAAAGGATCATTAACATCTCCTTAAGATCTTACGGTGAGTAACCTCCAAAATCTTAGTTTTATTAGGTCATTCACTGGCAACACAATTGAACTGAACACAAGGAAGAGATCATAATTAGTATACAAACTGTCATGTGTCACAGCTCTGATGTTTATGCATTTTGGTGTTTTGCCCCTGATAATCTAATTGTTTTCTAAGTAGTTTCTAAACTACTGACATATAAGACATGTGGACTCAGCAAAAACATACATTGGGGAAAAAAAAAACCCAATAATTTCTTACATTTAGCTTTGTATTACACACAAAAGCTTAGTATTCATTAGGCAAGTTAACATTATTGAGTAAAAGCTTCCTTCTTTTCAAAGCAGGGATGATAATACCTACCTCATAGAGATTCGCACAGATTAAATTAGATTATATTTATATTATATATATGGATTATGTTAAATTAGATGCTGCATATATAGAGATTATACATAAAAATGCCTAGTACACATTGGTCATTCAACAAACAATTACTTCATTTTTCTCCAAGTAATGAAACTTACCAATCAGACTATCACTAGTACTTAGAATGGCATTTTTCACATAGCAAGCAGTTGATAAATCTGTTGAATGAATGTATCAAAATATAGGTATAATCAGGCTGAGAATCTGAACAAAGAAAAATCATTTGAGTTGGTTAAGTCCCACTTTCATTATATTGATAAATTCACATCAATTCCTCAGACTTCGCTTTTAAAAGTTTCATTCTCAGGGTTAAGCAACATGACAAAAACCAGATACCAAATTTACGTAATACTAGTGTCTATTTAGGTCATTCAAATCATTTTGGTATAAATGGCCATAGAAAAAGGGTGAGTTTTTTAGAGGAAAGATATATAAATGAATTACATTACATAAGGATTATATTAATTTGCTGGGAGCCTTTATTTACCTATAGGGACGGTGTCAAAACAATATTAAATATCACAGTTAACTAATACTTAAGGCTGGAGACTTATGAAGAAGGTGATAATGAGCAAACTTGACCTCTCATTGCTGTATAGACTTCTATCTCTAAAAGAAAGGCTGTATATTGGCATAGCCACCATTTGATTAGTGGGGTACATTTTGATGTCTTAGGTTACTTAAAGCTGTATTTTCTCAATTATATGAATGAAAAATAAATTATATCAACATATATATATATTAAATAACACTGTTTTATTAAAGCCTTTGTCACAGTGTCTAATACATTTTAACTGTTTTTCAGACACTCATTGTTTATGTAGGTATTCTTTTTTTTTTTTTTCTTTTGAGACAGAATAATCTCACTCCCTCACCCAGGCTGGAGTGCAGTGGCACGATCTTGGCTCACTACAACCTCTGCCTCCCAGGTTCAAGAAATTCTTCTGTCTTAGCCTCCTGAGTAGCTGGGACTAGAAGTGCCTGCCACCATGCCTGGTTAATTTTTGTATTTTTAGTAGAGATGGGATTTCACCTTGTTGTTCAAGTTGGTCTCGAACTCCCAACCTCAGGTGATCCAGCCGCCTCAGCCTCCCAAAGTGCTGGGCTTACAGGTGTGAGCCACTGTGCCCGGGCAATATAGGTATCTTTTTAAAAAAGAAATTAGAACTCTTGAACTCTACATCTGGAATGATTTGATACATCCAATTATGCTTAAAATGCAGGCATTTTTTCCTTCAATGCTGGCTACCCAGGACAGCAATAGTACTTTAATAGCTCAGGCAGCTCTGGATATCAGGATTATTATCTGTATGGCAGCCCAGGTCACTCTGAAGAAGCACCCAGGAACTATGATGCAAGAAGAACAGCTTGAGAGAGCATTACGGGCCAGCCTCTGGGACTGAGGAAATACCAGAAATAGCCCACCACCCTATGGGTTTTGTCTCTCAGCAGAAGAAGAAATGAGGAGACAGCGCCTTCACAGATTCGATGGCCAGTGCGGTGACATCTTGGGAAGACATGTTTTTTTTCATGTAATGATTGTCCATTTGGTTCATTCCGCAAGCCCCTAGTTCATTTTAAACAAAAGCAGAGTGTACCGGTATTGCCCTGGATCGCTCCCGTCTGCCTGGGACGGTCCTTCCATGATCCCTCTGATTCAGCTCACATCTTGGTGGGCGTGGGCTCACATAGGTCACTTCCTTCATGAAGGGACCAGTTTCCATACTCCCCTCTCTCACCGCTGACTCAGCAATGCCTCTGCCTTGCTCTGCTTTTGAAAACTGTGACCTTCACCAGGAGATTTTACTTTCACCAGGCAGGAAGATGAGCCCCTCATCCTGACTGGAGTGCCCTGTGTTTGACTTGGCAGTGGGTGCAGAGCCATCTCCCCATCCTCCCAGTGCGTCGCCACTGCGGCTGTCCAGGAACAGAATGTAGCTGCCTCGGCCGCGTGTCGTCCTACTCTCCCCCACCCCAGCGCCTCTGCTCCTCAGCTCCTCCGGCCCCTGCATCTGGCTGCTGTTTGCAGGGCCTTTGCTTTGCTCTGGTATTGCTCTGCCATTATAGAAAGTCTTATGGAAGAAGTATAAGAAAGACCTAAAGGCGGAGCCGCGATGTCTCCAGCGGCTGCAGCGGCTGCAGCAGGGGAGCGCGGCGGCCCATAGAGAGTGTTAGGGATGGCCAGGGCCGGGCCTGCGGTGGGCCGGCAGGGGCGGCGCTCCTCGGCCTGTCGCTGGTCGGCCTCGTGCTGTACCTTGTGCCAGCTGCGGCTGCGCTGGCCTAGCTGGCCGTGGGGGCTCCCGCGGCCTGGTGGGGACTGAGCCGCGAGCCCCGGAGGTTCGCGCCCCTTGTCCTCCTTTGTTCGGCACGCACGACATCGGCGAACATTGTTCGCTTCGCCTACGGCCAAGTCGGCAGCCGACGGAAATCTCCTAGAGCCAGCAGACACTGCTCGAAGGACCCGACCCTGCCGAACTGCTACTCATGGGCAGTTACCTGGGCAAGCCCGGGCCGCCACAGCCCCCCTCCCCCGACCCGGCGCTCCGGAGTGCCAGGACTTGCAGCAGAGGCCTGGCAGCCGCCCACCCGCCTGCTCTGCGCTGCGCTCCCCGCCGACCCATCGCATTCACCACGTTTACCCCTCTCTCCCCACTCCTCTTCTCCGACCCTCCAGTAGGCCTTCCCAACGGGATTGTGGGACTTCACCAAATCGGTTTATAGTAACGCCTTGAAGACGCTATCCGATCCATGAGGCCCAATATTTCTGTCTGGGGGTACTTCCCACAGTGTGCTGGAATGGTTATCACAAGAAGGCTGTGCTGTCCCCTTCTTGTGCTACGCAACTCCAGGATGGTGTGTAGCCCGGTGACTGTGAGGATCGCCCCTCCTGACAGAAGGTTTTCGAGGTCTGCGATACCAGAGCAGATAATCAGCTCAACACTCTCCTCACCGTCAAGTAATGTCCCAGACCCATGTGCAAAGGAGACTGTACTGAGTGCCCTCAAAGAGAAGAAGAAAAGGACAGTGGAGGAAGAAGATCAAATATTCCTTGATGGCCAGGAAAATAAAAGAAGGCGCCATGATAGCAGTGGCAGTGGACATTCAGCATTTGAGCTCCTGGTGGCCAATGGAGCTCCCGCTTCTTTTGTGCCTAAGCCTGGGTCTCTGAAGAGACGCCTCAATTCTCAGAGCTCAGAGGACCACTTGAATTAGAGATCCCGAACCTCTTCCATGAGCTCCTTGACAAGCGCTTACACAAGTGGCACCCCTAGCTCCAGCTGCAATGCCATTACCAGTTCCTACAGCTCCACTCGAGGCATCTCACAGCTCTGGAAGAGAAGTGGTCCTAGTTCATCACCCTTCTCTAGCCCAGCCTCGTCCCGCTCCCAGACACCGGAGAGACCAGCAAAGAAAATCAGAGAAGAAGAAGTGTGTCATCATTCCAGTTCTTCAACCCCACTGGCTACAGACAAGGAGTCCCAGGGAGAAAGGGTTGCAGATACAGCCCCATGGAAGAAACAAAACTCACGAATTCTCCGTCTATACCTGGCAGCTCTGGGCAGCCTAAGCGGAAAATTCAGCTGCTGCCTTCTCGGCGAGGAGAACAGCTGACCTTGCCTCCACCTCCCCAGCTTGGCTATTCGATCACTGCCGGGGACCTAGACTTAGAGAAAAAGACTTCATTACAGTGGTTCAATGAGGCCTTGGAGGATAAGACCAATGCTGCCTCGAACTCTGTCACTGAGACCCCACCTACCACTCAGCCTTCATTTACCTTTACCCTGCCTGCTGCTGCACCTGCCTCCCCGCTGACCTCCCTCCCGGCCCCAAGCACCAACCCACTGTTAGACAGCTTGAAGAAGATGCAGAGTCCCCTGAGACTGCCGCCCTGCCCAGAATCTCCTGGAGCAGCAACCACTGAGGCCCCGTCGCCTCCAAAGACGCCCAGCCTCCTGCCATCACTGGGCTTCTCACAGTCAGGGCCACCAGGGCCCCTCCCCGGCCCCTCCTCAGACTCCAAGCCTCCCACCACTTTGCTGGGGCTGATGCCTGCTTCATCCACAGTACCAGCCACTGACACCAAGTCACCTCCAACCCTTCAGGCAGACATGGCTGCCAAACCCCAAGCCACATCTGCCCCACCCCCTGACCCCAAACAGAGCTTCCTGTTTGGAACACAGAGCACCTCACTTTCCAGTCCTGCTGCCCCTGCCGAGTCCTCAGCATCTCCCATGTTCAAGCCCATTTTCATGGCCCCACCTAAGAGTGAGAAGGCCGGCCCCACACCGCCTGGCCCTTCAGTCCCAGCCACAGCACCTTCCAGCTCCTCCCTCCCTCCAACCACCGGCACCACAGCCCCGACTTTCCAGCACAGCCCCGACTTTCCAGCACAGCCCCGACTTTCCAGCCCGTGTTTAGCAGCATGGGGCCGCCTGCATCTGCGCCCTTGCCTGCTCCCTTATTCAAGCAGACAACTCCCGCCACTGCTTCCACCACAACTGCCCCATTTTTCACCTGCCTGGCCACCACCGCCTCTGCTGTGGCTACCATCTCCACAGCCAGTCCATCCGCAGACTCTGCTTCGAAGCCTGCGTTTGGCTTTGGTGTAAACAGTGTGAGCAGCAGCGTGAGCACCACGACCAGCACCGCCACTGCCACCTCACAGCCTTTCCTCTTCGGGGCGCCCCTGGAGCTTCACCCCTGTCATGGGCTCCATATTCCAGTTTGGCAAGCCGCCTGCCCTGCCCACCACCACCACAGTCACCACCTTTCACCCAGTCCCTGCCCACTGCCGCACCGACGGCCACCAGCAGCAGCGCCGCCGGCTTTAGTGGTTTCGGCAGCAGCCTCAGCACCTCCGCCCCGGCCACCAGCAGCCAGCCCACACTGACATTCAGTAACACGAGCACCTCCACATTCAACATTCTCTTTGGCTCAAGCACCAAGTCCCCGCTCCCATCATATCCAGGAGCCAACCCCCAGCCCGCATTTGGGGCCGCCGAGGGGCAGCTACCGGGAGCCACCAAGCCAGCCCTTGCCCCCAGCTTTGGCAGCTCTTTCACTTTTGGGAACTATGCAGCCCCAGCCCGGGCTGCTGCACCCACACCTGCACCTGCGTCCACGATCATGATCGTGCCCGCGCATGTGCCCACACCCCTCCAACCTGCCTTTGGCAGTGCCACACAGTCGGCGTTTGGGTTGAAAGCCGCGGCTTCAGCCTTTGGCGCCCCCGCCAACTCACAGCCCACCTTTGGCGGCACCACTGCTATCTTCTTTGGTGCAGCCACCAGCTCTGGCTTTGGAGCCACCACCCAGACCGCCAGCAGTGGGAGCAGCAGCTCAGTGTTCGGCAGCACGACACCATCACCCTTCACATTTGGGGGTTCAGAGGCCCCCGCTAGCAGCGGGGGCTTTGGGATCAATGTTTTTCCTCATCAAAATGCCTCTTAATTGGCCACTGTACCAGCCACTTGTCCTAGCCAAATGTCCAAAACACACTCTTGGGCCCCACAACATTACAATCCACAGATTGCCTGAGTCATTCGAGTTTTTTCCTGTGGCTTGTGTTCCATGAATAAAAGGGCAAAGTCAAAAGATCACTGATGTCTTACTGTCACAGAGATATTTTAAAAGAGAGAAGCAGGGGCCGGGCATGGGGGCTCAGACCTGTGGTCCCAGCACTTTGGGAGGCAGAGGCGGGCGGATTACCTGAGGTCAGGATACGAAGCCAGCTTGGCCAGCATGGTGAAGCCCCATCTCTACTAAAGATTCAAGGATTGGTGGAACATGGTTGCATGTGCCTGTGGTCTCAGCTGCTTGGGAGGCTGGGGTGGGAGAATTGCTTGAACCCAGGAAACGTGCAGTGGGTTGAGATTGCGCCACTGTACTCCAGCCTGACTGCTAGAGCAAGACTCTGTCAAAAAAAAAAAAAAAAAAAAAAAAGAGAGGGAAAGAAAGAAGCAGGAAAAGATCTTCCTTTTTTAATCTACAGTTTATATAGTTTTCTGGTTATGCACATAATAGACATGCCTTCCATATGCATAAAGCAAACATCTGGAAAGAAATATACCCAAATGTTGGCAGGGACTATCTTTGGGAGGGGAATACAAGGGATTTTGCTTTTTGTTCTTTTGCTATTTATCTTCATGTCTTTAGTAATTAGCATAACATACTACAGATGAGCCTTGAACAACACTGTTGTGGACTATATGGGTCCACTTATACTTTTTTCTTTTTTTTTTGAGACAGAGTCTCACTCTGTCACCCAGGCTGGAGTGCAGTGGTGGGGATCTCAGTTCATTATAACCTCTGTCTCCTGGGTTCAGGTGATTCTCCTGCCTCAGCCGCCCCTGTAGCTGGGACTAAAGGCTAGGATCACCACACCCAGCTAATTTTTTTATTTTTAGTAGAGATGTGGTTTCGCCATGTTGGCCAGGCTGGTCTCAAACTCCTGACTTCAGATGAACCACCCACCTTGGCCTCCCAAAGCACTGGTATTACAGGTGTGAGCCACTGCACCAGGCCAAGGGTCCACTTATACTTAGTTCCATACACTTCAAGCATGCACCTTCTTCATCCCCCTTCATCCTAATAGGGTAATGTCATAATTTTTGCTAGATCAGTACCTATTACTTACATTATGATGACTGTGCATAACTATGTTATGCATAGTTGAACCATGTAATATAATCACTCTTATACTTTTATTCAGGTATGTTTTTTATATCTTGGTGTTATTTTGTTCTTTATTTTTCCTGAAGATAATAATCTTTAAAAAAATTTGCTTAGATTTCTAAACACCACACTTACACCCAAATTCTTCTCCAGTGAAAAATATCTCTCATTCTGTTCAAACTTCTTAGGTATTAAATCAATATCATCTGTTTAAAGAAAACTATCTGAAAGCCTTTTGATTAACTTGCTTGTACTGGTTGCCTTCTAGATTTGGTATGAATCTAGAAGTACTCACCTTGAATTAAATAGTACTCATCTTGAAACTTTAGTTGCTCCTTTTTCTGGGGACTGCATTTGTCCATGTCTTACGTTACATCACTTGTTTTCTGGACCTCATGTACTCTTTGTCTGGGGTTTCCTCACTTGTTCTGCAGGATACACGTAGCCCTAATTTCAATAGCTTTTTGTAAGGTAAATTTTTAAGACCTTATTTGGCACAACAAGAATTTCTTCTACCTTTATGGTTAATTGAGAGTTCACTGTACATAGACCCCTAAATCAAAAATCATATTTCCTCAAAATTGTGAAAGTATTGTTCATTTACTTTCTACTGGCCAGTATTGGGTTGAGAGGTCTAAAGCCAGTCTGTTGCTTCTTTCTTTTATGACATCTAATTTTTTTTCTGTCTGCAATTCATTTGGCTCCTCATTTATCCACATATATGTTTGAAAATTTGCTCCTCATATATGTTTGAAATTTTACAATAATACTTCTTGGCATAGCAGTAATCTATCTTTAGGTCTCTGCCTAGGCTCACTCTATCTGGAAACTTATAGTATTCAATTCTGAGGAATTACCTTAAATAATTTATTTAATGATTTTCTATGTTTCATTGTCTCTATTCTCTCTTTTGGAGTTCCTGTTATTTAGCTATTGGAACTTATAGACTAGTCATCTAACTTTATCTCATTCACTTTTTATCATTTTTCTTCATTTTCTAGGAGATTCTTCATTTAGTCTCTCTTATCTTTTGAGGTTTCATTTCTGCCATTTTAACCTCTGCATGTTTTCTTGTCCTCTGAATTCTTCTTATAATACAGCCTTTCATTCCAATTCTACGATTGCAATATCTTATCTTACATCTATAACAGTGTTAATAATATTCATTGGTTTCAGTTTCACTCTCCCTGTATATTTTCTGTTTCCTTCACATTGTTCTAGTCAGTTTATTTTGATTTCTGCCATTATATCAGATACTATCCTTAAGTGTTTGGTGATCCTTTACACTCTGCTCCTATTAAAGAGGAGGGGACTAAGAGGCTGATTGAAATTTTGCTTTCATGATAAAGGCTCGTGGACTATGGGTTTCACTGTAGGGTACTATGAGTAACCTATTTTGTTAGACCAATACCAGTGTCAGAAACATTTACTTAATTTCCTCGTTTTGTATGAAACCTTGCCCCCTGCTGTGTCTGGTGTTTCCCAGCCCAGAGAGTCTATGTTTCGCTTATTCAGAAAATAAACCTCTCATCCACAGCTCTCATGGAGGAAGAGAACCTTGGAGTTTCCTGCATCTTACATATTCTTTCAACTCACCCTCTTTTTTTGTTTTAAGCTCTACTTCACCTCCCACATCCAGAATTACTTGGCATCACCAATGCCTGAGAAAACTAAGGATTCTATGGAGTAAATCAAGTTGTTGTTTTCCCTTTTCTCACTCTCAGTTTAGGATTTCGCTTTTTCAGGTTGGCTGCATTTGATTGCTTTATCCATCTGCATTTTATTTTTAACCATGTGATGCTTTTGCATCTTCTCTTTTTTCTTTGTTCTTGTAGGTTTATGTTTTCCAAGTGGAGGGTTAGGAAGGGCTGAAAGGAAATGCTTATGTTGAACCTACCACCTTTAGTTGGACGTCTCTATAAATGGTTGGTAACTATATATTAAAATGAGATTTTATTAAACTTCCCCTATTCTGCAGTCAAGAAGATACAACTTTTTTATTTTTGTTTTTATTTTTTTTGTATTGTAGTTGGACATTTTCCGGGTTATTCTCTTAGGTGGAAACAAAAATCCGTGCTAATGGTTACTGTACTGCCCAATAAAGTTTTCATATTTCACAAGCTTTCTGAATTTTCACTCAATAAATGGTTACAACTACCTCTTGAGATTCAGAGCTCTCTTAAACCTAGACTTTCTTTTACAAAACTAATCACAAGGAAATTTGGTTGGTTCTTCCTAGGCACAGTGATGAAACTTCGTTGGTTTTTAACAAGAATTGCCTAGTATGGAATACTCTTTGCTTTATAAAGTTAGAACAACCCTAGTCAATCAGCAATATTCCAACTTCTTAGAGAAGATCATAAGACAGATCCTTATTTAAGAAGAAAAGTACTCTGACAAATGTTTTCACTCTGTCAAGTTGGTCTCTCTGAATGGCTTCCTTGGGTCCCTGCATGTTTGAGGAGTGAATATGAGGAGATCTTATTTTCTCTTGAAGTGTCACTGTTTAGATTTTTCCAGTGGCATCAGGTCCTATTATAGTTTGTTGACCTGTCAGCAAACTATAATAGGACCTGATGCCACAGGAAAAAAAAAAAAAACCGAATTGACTTACCGTTGTACTGCAATTCATGAAGCATCTTGAGGCCAAATGATTTCCAGGCTTGTACTACAGGTTTTGGGGTGGGTTTATTTTTTCTTTCAGTTCTATTTAGCACTGCTTGTTTTCTTCCTGGTCCATATTCTATGTGTATCTATTAAGTTTACCAACAACTCAAGTGTGGTTTCACAGATCCGTCAAAATTTACAGTAAATTAGAAAGGTAATGTTTCCAAGAAGATTTAAAATTACTGGTAGTAAAATAATAACCACAACCCAGATTGGACCCTCTGGGGAGGCTGAGGTTTGCTTTTCCTGAAATGGTCAATTTTGGATTGCAATTGAGGCAGCTTCCTGAGTGATGAGTGAGTCAAGGAGAACGAATCTAACAAGCCCTTATGTTTCAAGTTCTGTAATCTCACCCTCCTCGTATGGATCCATCATGTTTTCTGCAAAGCTATTTTTATGTCTTCTTTTTCCTAAGCACTATAATATACAAAACCACACAAACACTTGTAGTTGTTGTTTTGTTGTTGATGTTGTTATTTACAAGTAAGCATCGTTAAAGTAAACCTGCTGTCTTGTAAAGGCTACGTGAGAAAATGTTCAATGTATCAGTTTTAGAGGTTTAATGAGCTCAGTGTTAAAGATGTAAAGGACCTTCCTTTCTACTTCCTTTAAAAACTGAACTATTCTTCCATTTTCAATACATCCAAAGTAAGGTCACACACTGCCTTCAGTTAAAAAGGCAGCATGCTTTAAGTGGATGTCAATGATTAGTTAATTTACAGTGAGGCTGAGAGAAGAAAGAAAACAAGGTTGGGGTAAGGGCTGTAGTCCAAATTTGCCAGTTTCCCAGGTGAGTGCTTTATTTGAATTAAAATATTGGTTTTGCAAGCTCAAGTCAACAGAGACTTCTTTCCCCACAATTCCACACAGTATATAAAGAACAAACCTCAAAGCAATTCAGTGGGCACATATTTGGTAGCTGAAGCACTCTATCTTGCAAGGCACATTAAAAGAGAAATAAAATCCTTACTGCATTCAGACAAGGCTCCTTCCCAGCTGAATATAATGTGACCACAACATGGAGTACAGAAGCTAGTTACAGGTGAACCAAAAGGCGGGACTGTTAGGTCAGCACACACTCATTTAACTAATTGGCCTCCACAATTTGT